CCAAGTACATTTTAAGTATGGAGGTTATGCTAGAGCTTTCCCAGGTAGGCTGTAAGTATCTTCACATAAAAATCAGTTTCAGTAATGGGTGACTAGGGATCAGGACTTTAGCAGAAATGGGACCCTGCCATCACATATAAGTTGCAGCTGCTACAGGATCCAGCAACAGTTCTTATATGCTGTCTTCTTTACATCTTGTCTGCTTAGCTTCTTCAGGAACACCTGGTGAGTTGCCATGTGGGCTTTCTGAAAACAGAAGTAGATCCTGATTTTCTTTTATGCCTGTGTCTGGTGATTCCTCTGTGATCATGGGGCAGGATCTCCTTTTCCAAAAGCCATGATAATTCTTCCTAGTGCCTTGTTTATCTGAGTCCACTGTTTCTGTTTTCTAAATATCTATACATTTGTCTAGAACAAGCACCATTCTTCTGATCAGTAATTTGCTGTATTTCTGGACCCTCTGTAGATTTAAAAGGCAGGTGAAGTAATTGCAGTGTCACTGGTAGTAAAATGGCTTGGAGTGAGAGATTATATATCACAGTTAATGATTCTGTTCTTTCATCCTTCTGCTCCTTTTGAGCTCTTGGATGAATATTATCCTGTCCTGGTAATTTGTTACTTCTTATCTTGTTGAGTTGTACCACAGTCCCTTCAACCAGTGTTTCAGTGTGACATAAAGAAGTCCTGTGTGAACACTTGCCAAGTTACTAGCTATGTTTTTATGATCTTGTCATCTCCCACTGCTGCTTTTATATCTTTATCTTTTCTCTTGGCCCTACAAATATTCTGGCAGACTTCTGCTGTTAAACTTTTTGAAGAATTTTACTTGTTTATTTTTATGCTTTCTGCAAGATTTTCCTCAGGCTGTTTTGCTCTTTGGCATTTCTTATTCTGTTTTTTGATTTTAAGTAGCCAAAGTTTGAGCCCTTCTCTTTTTCCTCATTTTTGTACAGCTTGAGCTTTCAGAAGGAAACCTTTTTGCTCCTTACAGATTGCTCTACCTGTGTTTTATCTGTCAGCTTTCTTCTGCAGTTCTGCAGGCCTTTCCATGGGTAGTGCTTGGCCATAGAGTTTTAATAATCTCAGCTATAGTAATGCTTCTTCTTTAGGCTTGTTGATTATAGGCTTGAAAGCAAGTGCCTTTGAAGGTGAATAAAAGTTCTAGGCAAGTAAATCACACTTTCAGTTTGAATATCAGTGTGTGTTAAGGTTAAACAAAATGACAGCCTTGGACAGATTTGTCACTAACCTTTTTAGCTGTTGCATAAAATGGAGTGTTTCTGCTGCTAACTTGTGAAACTGTGAATACTCCCCAAGCAGATGTGCACAAAGAAATGGAGGGCTTCGTGGCTCTTGCTTAAGTTATGAATATACTCTGTATTGTATGAATACCATTTGCTGCTTTCTCTTGGCTTTCCCTAATTTAGTAACCTGCCTTAAATTAATCTCAGGGAAAACTTGGCTATTAATGCATATCATTAACCTATTTTGGTAAGTGATTTCAAAGATGCAAATTACATTGTGCGTGAGTTCACCACCACAGGCAAGAACACAAAGAATTTGGATACTGGTTTGCCTACTTTTGAAGTAAGGTTTCTTTTTTTTTTTTTTTTTTTTTAATCCAGATTTTACAAGCAGAAAAAGAAAAACAGGAGCTACAACACCAATATCAACTGTTTGAGCTAATGAAGAAACAAGCCAAGGAGGTGCAAGACCTAGGTTAGACTATAACATATGTTTATAACTATATTTGTAGTAAGTGCATTAGATCCATGGCAAATAAGGTTACAGGGAGAGGTGAATACAGTGCAAGGTACAAGGTAAAATGGGTGGCATATATGTCACAAAAGTATTGCTGACAAAAAGTCTGCCTAAACTGTAGTGCATATATGTCCATGAGAACACACACAGGGATATTGTATTTTAGATATCTGGTTCCTGGGATTAGTGATTTTTTCATTTATTTTGTAGTTGACTGGATAAAAATAGCAATACCTTACCAAGCAGGACAGTGTATAGTGCATACAATATGGAACTACCCAGGCCCAGGATTCATAAATGAGACAAATCGGAAACACTGAGACAAATACTGAAAATTCGCACCAAAGTCGTCTGGCAGTCAGAGAGGCCATTGTCTGCTCGTACCCTGTAGGAGTGGTGCCTGTACTGCTTCGTTTGGGCTGCTTTATCAAGGAGCTGCATAGACAGGCTGGTGGGCATTTGTTGACACAGCAGACTAGGAAATTTCGGTATGTGTTTTGCGCTCGTTCAGGGTGGGACAGAGCAACATTCTGCTCTGAGGCACCAAGCAGTGATATGGTCAGGTATGCAGAAACACAGCTAAGAGAGGTGAATGACTGCCTTGGAGAAGGGGATGCCGTAAGTAGAGGCAAGAACAGGAAATTCAAGATATGTTTTTCTCATGTAAAATATTTTTATTGTCACAGAGTGTAAACCTACTGTATTGTGTTGAAGTGAGGTGGTGCTTCAAGGGTAACTGATTGCAACCAGCTGTCAAAAAGACCAAAGCAGAAAACAGTAATGTAGAAAAATAGAAAGTACCTTGTTTTCCTAGTAGTTTCCTCAGTTCTATATATTTAATGTCACCAGAATCTAGCAATAATCAGAAACTGTTAATCGAAAATGAAAAATACCAGGAGCTGCAAGTGAAATCTCAGAGGATGCAGGAGGAATATGAGAAACAATTGCATGATTTGGAGGAAAGCAAAAGCAAGGCTCTAGAGGAGCTAACAGAATATTATGAAGAAAAACTTAATGAGAAATCTGTTTTGTTGGAAGAGGTAAGAACTTTGCTTTGCAGTTTGAATTATTGACAGTGTTTTTATTTCCAACTGTGATAAGATATTCTCCAGGGCAGGAGAAGTTGGCTCCCTGCATGCAAATCCTAATCTGCTTGTAAACAGTGAAATATGTTGACAGATAGAATAGTAATGAGGAAAACTCCAGCTGAGTTACCAGCTTGTCTGGGTTTCGTGCCCTCGGTAGGTGATCTTCTGAGAAGAACACCTTTGAGTGTTATTAGCTTCACCTCTCTCTTCCCTCGATGCAAGAATTCCTGATGATTAACATAGTATAGCTGATATATTTACTATCATTGAGAAAGAGAGATTCAGTCAAGCAGTTGTTCTAGTGAAGAGATAATACTACTGCAGTGGTGAATTCTGAGACACATCAACTTCTGGTCTTTGAAATCGTCAACATCACTAAATCCCCGAGGATCCTGCCTCCATAATTAGGGGAGCAAAGGAAAAAATATCTGACTACTCCAAAAACTTCTACCCGCTGTAGTCAAAACCTGTAGCTCAGTGTACTCCATGCCAAAGATTACAGTGCAGCCAGATAGCTGATGCACTACAGAGTTACTGTAGATGTAACTGCAGATATAGCCAGTATCTATAAATTCTGTCAACACTACTGTTTTAGCTCTTCACTGAAGTACCGGTTGTGTACAGAGAATGTGAGAAGGGAACAGAGAGTGGGGCAAAAACAAGTCTTAATGCACCAGAAATAGCAATTTTAAAAGATTCTCTCAAATCTTACTCATGTCTGCATTTTCTGCTACCAAAGCAATCTCTCTGATGATAGTTTTCAGGACAAGTTCTCAGGTTTGTAAGCCTAAGTCTTTGTGCTTACATTGCACAACACTGCTGAGTCTAAACAATATTCCTGCAGTGGAACTTGAAGAATCCATTAAATGCAGGCCCAAAATACTGTTGTCTTTTCTAATGCTTGCTTTCCCTAATTGCAGACAGAGGAGACTATCAGGCAGCAGCTTCACATATATGAAGAAATTAAGAAACAGATTGAAGAAGATGAAGACCGAGAAATCCAGGAAATCAAAATCAAGTATGAGAGACGACTCCAGGAAGAAAAGGAATCAAACCTGCGACTGAAAGGAGAAACAGGGATTATGAGGAAAAGGGTATCTCTTTTTCTGTGTTAAAATCAGACTTAATCATGGAGACCTATAGCTGAGAACTGAATGCGGTTTGCGATATGTCAAGGTTTGTTAATTTAGCCTATACATGCTGGACATTTCTGTCACATATGAGAACAATTGTCTCTTCTTATGTCACTTTGCACGTTTTACAATGTTTGGAAGAAGAAGCAGTTGTGTGCTAATTGCATTGCTGGTAAAACTAAAGAAAGACAGGTGTGTTTTTATTAGTATACTTCCTGCTGTCTTGTATAGTTTGACGTTATGAATAATAAGCAATATTGTTCATCATATCACCGGCAAGAAATGGACTTTTTCATTTCTCCAAGTCTGCAAGTATTTTGTTGGAAAAAATCTTCTACTAGTACTTCATTTAATGCAGTAGACATTTTGTGGTTTACATGCACCATCATTTTTTATTGGTTCTACCAATAAGCCTAGGATTTTATTACTCACAATTGTCCCCAACATTAAAATTTTGATCTCTCCTTCAGCTGTTTGCTTTCTTCTATATAGTCCAGCATATTAAAACCCTACCTACAGTGATAATTAAATCCTGCAGTCTCTCAGTTTGCTATCCTTTCTCCCACATTGTCTAAGTAATCCTTACCAAGCAGGATGGTTAAATTTTGGAGGTGGTTAAATTCTTACCTGTTCTTCTCTCTAGTTCAACAGTCTACAGAAAGACATTGAGGACCGAAACAGTGAGATTGAGGAAATGAAACTGGAACAGCAGAAGCTGCAAGGCATAATTACCTCGCTGGAGAAGGACATCTTGGCACTGAAGAGGGAGATTCAAGAGAGAGATGACACTATCCAAGACAAGGTGAGAAACAGGATGATTGATTCTGTTTAAAGGGACCCTCCTTTAATTGAATGCAGATATTCATATTAGCAGTATTGTGTTATGATATTATCCAGTATCTGTTCTGCCCAAGACATGACTTGAAGCTCAGTTTTAACGTAAGGAATTTGTAGTCTTCAGTTTGGGAGCTTTATGGGAGCTACATTCTAAGCATTCCTTGAGGAGCCAAAGTCCAGACTGTTGAGTTTCTTATCCCCTGCTCTGGGATTTGTAGATATCTCTGCATTATTTGACATCCCTCCCCCTGAAACTTGTGTGAGATGTGTGACAAAAGTCAATTCTTCCACAAGATCTGTGCCTGCTATGTTTGCTTCTGTTATATTTATGCCTTGACCAAGGAGTCTGTTCAAGAATGCTAGGTCTGATTCAGATCTCTCTACCCATTTACTCCAGGAGAAGCGGATATATGATCTAAAAAAGAAAAATCAGGAACTGGAAAAGTTCAAGTTTGTACTGGATTACAAAATAAAGGAGCTTAAGAACCAAATACAACCACGTGAAAATGAAATCATGGTAATGAAGGAGCAGATCCGTGAGGTGAGTAACATGGTCATTTGACCTCTGCTACTCAGCCCCTTTATCTCATTACAAAGATGGCCAGACAAATCCCTTGGAAGATTCTACCTTGTTTGCTCCTTGACTTCTTTGAAGGATACACAGCACTGATATCTTTGTGCCTAATAAAAATACTTACGCACAGTAGCTGCTATTTAGCTTTTTATCACATGCTTCCAGTCATGCATATGGTTACTTAAACTCCCATTTCAGTATTTAATGCCAGACTCTTCAGCGATGTCAGTTTTGATCAAAAATATTTCTCATCCATATATGGTTGCCTCTGCCTACCCTGCAGAGCTTGTGAGGGACTGTCTTTCCTGGTCTGCAGGAAGAGAAGGTGAACTTCTTCCCTGTAAAATGTTACAGATTTCTGCAAACCTTACCCAATGGAAAGGATAGGTACGTGGCCAAATTAACATTCTTTACCTGCTTCATGGAAATTTTCCATATGTTCATACATAACTTGCAAATTCATTTAGGCAATTTATTCATACCACATTACCATAATCTCTCCATTGATGTGCCTTTAACACAGCCAAATTAGAACTATGGTGATATAGCTAGTCAGTGACCTGCTAGTTTTTAGAAGTCTGTTTATTCAGAAGAAAAGCCTTTTTAAATAAAATGCAAAATAGCGAACATTTTATATGCATGTCTGACTAGCATAATCAATGTCCTACCCTCTCCTTTGGTCATGAACTCATATCAGGAAGTGCTGGAGTGTCCTCAGTGCCTCTTATCTGCCCATTCTGTTTACGCAGTCACAACTTTTCATGCATTTGTTTATTTTCAGCACTGAATTCTTCTCATTGCTGCACCTATTCTTTCCAGTATTGACTGTTAATTTCCATCTCCACCAATCCTTATTTTGATGGAACATTACAGCTCCGCTTCAGCTCATCCTGGAAAACTGCATGTTGGACAACTATCCAGTTTTGCATTTTCTGTGTTTTCTGACAGAGGGCAGTGTTGTTCCAAAATTGACTTTAAATTTTAAGTTTCAATTTAACCTGAAGGGGGACCTAATCCTTTGTGTCTGTACTTTAATTCTGTGTTTTTCCTGGCTCATGTTGGTTTTTTTTTCAGTAATGTCTACTTTTAGTCCTGATTTCCTCCTCTCATTTCCTTGCAGATGGAGGGGGAACTGGAACGACTCCACAAGCAGAACGCCCGGTTGGAACTGCACATCACAGAACTGCAACAGAAGTTAAAGGCAACTGACCGTGAGGTGCACAGAGAGAGGCAGAAGGTACGGGCTGCGACCACTGTGCAGTGGTCCCCACTTCCTGCAGGATGAAACTTGTGGGGATGGGATGCTGCAGAAACATTAACCTGAGCAAAATGCTCCTTCATGGACCCTGTATAGAAGGTCCAGTGAACAGGAGAACCTCTGGTAAGTAGCAACAAAAGCAGATGTCTTCCAGGCCTGTAACCGTATTGGAGAGTTGATATTAAAGATTCCATCTGTTTAAATGTAATTCGTTCAAAAAATCAACACCTATATTCTCCCAGATTTAACTGAGCAGGGAGGCACATGCCTAACATACCAATTCTTCCTGCCCGAACTTGAAATCTCAGCACAGTGGACCCACGTAGGGGGTACACATGAGTTAGCACCTACAATGATATGCAGGCATTAACAGGATGAAATGAAGGATGAGCTTATTCATGGAGGAGACAAGGGCTCCTTGTGTTTGAGAACAAGAAGGTCAGACTTGAGGGAGCAAAAAGAACTGAAATTAAAGCAATAAAGAACGGAGAAAGAAGGGAGAGGGGACTGTCAGAAAACAAATAACAGCGAGAGGGGAATCTAAATGTGAAACTATCAAGTTATACATGTCTGATATATCCTTTGCCCCTTGTGTTTTCTCATTCACTGTTTGTATCTTTTTTTTCTAAATAAGAATGTAGGCTGTTTGGGAAAGGACACTGTGGGATGGTATTGGTGATAATGCTCTGTTCTTCACTTGAGGTCTCTGGGTGCTGGCACGGCCATTACCTAATGCAGGTATCATGGGCTAAGTGTTGCTGCTAAAACTTGTCGCTGGTATTCCACATACCGGGCTCAGCCTGAGCAGGTTTTCTTTAATGATATATTTAAAAAAATAAATGGACTTAAAGCATATAGAGATTTTTACCAGTTCAACTAAACTTTCAAGGTATTGCACAATGTGGAGCGTTCTAATCACTTGGATCAGAGTATACCTACATAACTCTTGCAGGAACAAAATATGAAAGCTCTCATCAAACGATTTAAAACAGATCTTCATAACTGTGTGGGCTACATTCAGGATTCCAAAAAACTGAAGGATAGGATCTGTGAGCTTTACGCCAAATACGTCCATCAAACTGACATGGTGAGTTAAGGCCTTTGTCTTCTTGCAGGTGGGCTCATTTTGTATTGTAGTTACTGAGGGAACATGCTGTCACCCCTCAGGTGGAGACTGTAGAATTAGACACAGATTTGCAGCAGGAGTACATCAGACAGCGAGAGTATCTTGAGAGGAATTTTGCAACTTTAAAAAAGAAGCTGGTGAAGGAAAGTGAAATCCACCGAGGTGATTACGTGCGCATCATGCAGGTAAGCAGCCTCTTCCACGTGTTACGGAGAAGGAAGCAACTGCACAAAAGAAACTTTAGCAGCTATGCTGATCTAGTTTCTTAAGAGTTGAAACAACTCTTGCCAGAAATTGCTGCTATTATGTAGACTGACTTTTCTGGCCATGTAGTCCCACTTTTACTTGTCTGAATTCAAAAAACTGCTTTTCAGGTCTGGGTTTCCATTGGAAGTTCAAAAACAAATGAGGAATGTGCCCATCAGTACCAAGACATCTTGCTCAGAATTCTTGTTCTTACAGGGCAAGATAGACTTGCAACCACTGAGGCCAAAGATCCAGTGTGTTTTCTCTTGGAATGGAAACATCAACAACCCAACAGCTAATTTCCAGGGAGGACAACACTCCCACCATCTATTATTACCATGATCTCCTTCTGCTTGGTCAGCATTTCCCTTTCCCCTCACTAGCCCTGTTTTCACTGTTAATTTTTATGCTTCCTCAGGATTTTTATACCCTTGACCCCTTTTAAGTCCTCTGTGTTTCCACGCTTTCTTCATAGTCCTCCTTCAGGGGCAGGCAGCAGCAATCTTCTTCCCTAGCCCTGTTTTAATTTCTCTGCTACTTCTCTGGGTTAGAAATTTTCACTTGGCAGAAGAGGAGATGGTTTCAAAAAATAACCTGGAAATTTCCCTGCTGGAATAGGGTGACAGATGGTGCTTACAATGATAATACTTGATGTCTTGGATCAGTAAGCCTAACATGAAATGATGATTAAAACTGAATTAATAAAACATCTGGAAGATGAAGATATCAAAGGTTCTAACCAGGCTGCTTTCTTCAAAGAAAAAGTAGTTCTCTGAAGTATCATGGATTAATGAGTCTTTACAGCCAGGAGGAATTATCATGGTCTTTCAGTCCTTCACAGTGGTCTTTTAAAATTAGTTTAGATGAACTTCTGTCAGGGTTTTTTTTGAACAGGTGCATGACATCTTGAAGGCCTTCTAGCTCTGTATTTCTATTAGTTCTCATTTGTAATTACATTTTCAGAGCTATGCATTTCTCTCTGAGTGACTATTCATTGCTGCATTTTATTAGTGACTATTGCAACAGCTGATTAGAACTGGGAAGATAATTTTAATTATTCTTACCACTTGGTAAGTTGCTTGTTGTTCGTCTGTTAGTTTCCTTCCAAATCTTCTATACTCATAATGGCTTCTTTAATCACCTGGATGCATTAGAATAGGTGTACTTAATAATCTTGAAGTAACAGTGCTTATAAAGTATATTAAAAAAAAGCATGAATAGCACGATATTTTCTATAACCTCCTACCTGTTTCTGGCAGTCAGCATTGTAGGGACTTCCTGGGCTGCATCCATACATGTTATGCAGTCCTTCCTGATGGCCTCATCCTATGTGCATTTGATCAATCTATTTTTGAAACAATCTCCGCTTTGCCACCTCCTTTGACATTAAGTTTTATAATATGCATCTATTTTAACTCACTGCATGGTCATTTTATTTCAGTGCAGGCTTTTTCTCAGACTTCAAGGGCTGATTTAAAGGTTCATCTCTGCAGATAGCCTCTGCAGAAAAATATTATCACTGTCAACAGGCAGCTTTTTGGCATCCAGCAAGGCAAGCAAGGCAATTCTACACAGCCCAGGCTGCCTCACATGGGAGAGATGTTGCACTGTGCCATGGACCTAATGCAAGATCTTGACTTGATAGCAGGCATTCAGCTGCGTCAGTTTACTCAGGGTAAACTTATGACTCATTACCAAAGGCGTGCACCTAAACAAAAGTGGTGTATGCGATCCAGAACACTGTTAATAAAAGTCTTCCTGAGAGAGTCTCAGAAGTCACCCTCTTCATGGGTGCCTTTCAGGATCAAGTTCTGGGATAAACGCACAGTTTGTCAAATTTCATCCATGTTTAAAGACTTCAATTAACGAAGTCAGAGTCTACAAAAGATTATTGTTTATTCATTTTAGAGCAGGCTTCAGCTCATCCTACATCTAGAGTCTAACACAATCACTGCCAAAACAACAGGTCTTGCCCAACAAGTTCAGACCTTAACACATTCCACAATCTGCCTCTTTGTCATTGTCTGGTTCTGTGGACAGGTGACTTTCAGCTGAGGCACTCAAGCACACCCAGAATACTTTCCTTAGTGTTAAGTATTTATAATCTTACCACATGCAAACACCTTGAGTTACTGCTGCTGGCTTGAAATCCCGGAGGGCATCCCTGTGCAGAGACTTGCTATGAGCACAGTGCCTTGCTGCTAACCTGTTCCAAACTGTCCAGTCGTATTACACTGACTCTCGTATGATGCTAACACTTTTATCAGTGTGCTGTGTAGGAACAAATACTGTGCCTTAGGGAAATCTCACACAACCTAGGTGTACCACCCCAAATTGTCATCTCATCAAAAAATGAAGTTTTGAAAATACACCTTTTTCATAGGAAAATATCAATCTTTTTTTTTTTTTTCTTATCTCTTGCTGTTTTGCTGAGTTTGCAGTTGCTTGAGATTGGTATTAGATGAGGCAGTCTCTACGTGCCTTTTGGCCATTTATCCTTTTAAAATATGTCTCTATTTGGTAAAGTTCCAGAGGCTGGAATGAGGCTGTGTTCTAAATGTCTGAAAAAAACACAGGCAGGTGAAATCACTGCTACTCTCGATACAAGTGTGGTAGCAAGTGTTTAGGATTCCCACTTGCTGCTGATATGATCAGGTAGCTCTTTGCCTTTGTATGAGACAAAGATACAACTTTGCTTCCTTTAAATTCAGAACAGAAATATCTATGGCACCCCTGTTTCTTATTCTCAGGCAACAGTTTTATTATCCTTCACTATTATCCTTCCTTATTGGTCCATACTGTTGTTGAAGTCTTTCAATCTGTCAATGCAGTGGGTAGAGAGATCCATATTACATACATCTGTGCTTTCACAAGTATTTCAGCAAGATACTCTGTAACAGACTGTTAAGGAATTATAGGGTTGATATTTTATAGATTGAAAACTGACTAAAAAAGAAAGGACGGCCAACTTTTCCTGTAACAAAATATTAGCAGTATGTATATCAAGGATCTATATGCTCCATATATGTCTTAATAATTTGGGAGAGGTGTTGGAAAGTGATGTTAGTCAAAACCTATGAAGAGGACTCTGAAGAAATGCAAGGAGATAAGTATATAACTTAGGTGAAAAAACACATGTGGCAAGTGAAAAGCAAAATATTGCACACTGGAGGGAGATATGGAAATTCTTCACGTTAATTCTGAATTAATTAAATCCATCTCAGAAAGGGACCTGAGCTTCACTGTGGAATTGGCAAAGAAGATCATATCTTAAAGTACAGCTGCAGTCATAAATGCAAAACAAGTACTTGCTAATCACTAGTGTGATTAGAACACTGATGTTTTACATCAAATCTGTACTGTAGCCTTTCCTGAATACCGTGGTGTGTGTGGCTATCCTGAGCTCAGTAAGCATGTGATATCTGCTGCCTGTGATACTGATTCTGCGCTGTCTAGTGTCCTTTCCCATGGATAGGAGAATACATATTGCTAACCCAGGTAGTACCTGCACTTTTCATTATAGAGCCTCTTGTTATTGCAGGAAAATGTGAGTCTGATTAAGGAGATTAATGAGTTGCGTCGAGAACTGAAGGTGACCCGCACCCAGGTACATGACCTCCAGTCAACGCTAGGACTAGCCAAGAAAAAGCAAGTAATTCAAGACACAGGTGAATAATGCTTCTTGTATGTCTCCATATTAACAGTTTTCATTTCAGAAGCCCTCTTTGTTATCTATGAACACTGTTCTGGTAGTCTGTCTGTATAGTTCCAGCTTGTCTCCCTGGTGGTACCTGTTGTATTGTGATTTAAGTAGTAGAAACTCCTGAATATTTCAGAATCTTACTTTAGCTCTACTCTTTCAGTTCTGAAAAATGCCTGTCCTTTGTCATTCCCAAGAACTCCGCAAGCTGGAATCTTTGTTATTTTGCTCTCTCTTCTCTGATATCTTCTAGCTCCCTCCAGTGAACTGCTCTCCAGCCCAGCTGTGCTGCGGTTGAATGCAGAGAAAGAAAGTGAAAAAATCATAGAAATGCAGCAGCTGGAAATCCAACGACTGCGAGACGAAATCCAAGAGAAGGGGCAGGTCTTTGCAGTTCAGCCTCTCTCAGATGGAAAGCTTCCTATGCTGAAACTGGAAGGAAGCCACAGGACATAGCCAGAATGACTTGGTTCAGGAACACCTTACATTATTGTGTTCTCCTGGCAAGATCAGATTGATTAGGTTTGCCCTATTCCAGTAGAAGCACTGATGCAGCACTCACTACTCTGAAACACAAGGCCTTCTCTCCATCTTTCTTTCCTGGAATTTACCCTTTCTATGTGGATTTACTTTTCCCTTAAGTGTGCATGGTCTGAAACATGTCTGCTGCCTAGGAGCGAAGAGAAAAAAACAAATAAAGTTATGTTAATGCAAGATTGATCTTTGTGCCTTCACCTTAGGACAGGTGCACACTTCTCTCCTGAAAAAATACCATGTCCTAATCCAAAAGTGTTAGTCAACTCTGTAAAACTTTTCTGCTAGAAATCCTATTTGGTGTTGTATCATGCTGCAAAAATCAGTATCAGTGTAGAAACTGCTTATCCATACATGACTGCCCATAATATGAGAGAGATGTCACTGTCATTCCAAACAGCTATAATAATTAGCCTATAAAGGCAGCCTTTAACAAATGGTCAAGTCCACTTGAGCTGGAGCCCTTGTTCAAGCCCCTGCTTCATATTTAGAGACATGTTGTATCATCTAGTATAATCAGTCGAACAAAAAGGTAGACCAATTTCAGACTTCAAAATCTGCAGTCCAAAATCTGATGTCCGAAGTTGTAACTCACCTGTTACTTAGATCTGCTACCCCTCCAGTTTATTACTTCAGTGGAATTCTCCAGAAAAAAAAAAAAGAAAAGAAAGAAAGAAATAAAAAGGCATTATCTGCCTAATATTTAGCAGGGAAAAGTGAATTTTTTGAATCTCTGCTTGTCAGTGTATGATATACACTTGTCTCACTGAAGAATAGTACTTGTACATCCTAAATTAAAGCTATGGATTGAGATGGGAACTACCTGGTATTTTAACTGTCAGTGCATTATTGTTCCATTTCCTATTCTGAACAGTTGAGAAGTGACAAGTGCATTCTACATACTCCTAATATTGCTGTACAGAAGATCATGGTGTCAAAACTGGATAACACATAATCCATGTTAACATTAGAGATACCAGACTCCTTTCCAGCTTAATGCCAGGCAAAGCAGGTGATTCCACAAGCTTCTATGGCCTAGGAGATTTAAGCTGAATGTTTTGTCCATGAACGTGAGTGAAGTCTCTTTTTTATTTTGCAGCCCTAACCTGAATGAAGCTCAAGTTTGACAGGAACAAAAGGAAGAAGTAAAAATGGAATTGATCTCTTAATAGGAAAGCTTAACATTCTTTCTTCCTCCCCCAGCTTCCCATATAATCATCTTGATGCTTCCTGTGCAGAAAGAGGATGTAATTAATGCAATTATCAAATATTTTAGAAACTAGTTCCCTCTTAAATTTTCAGAACACACCCATTTTAATTTGCTAGACTCTCATGTGGTATAATTTTCCCCTCACTTTGTCAGAGCAAACTAAATGGTAGAAGCCACATCTTAATAGATGTGATTTAGACAAATGGAATCAATCTTTCTGAAAAAGAAGAACCCTGTCCTAATAAGAGGAAGAAGCTTATGCAAGTGAAGAATGATTTCTGAGTGGTGATTAATATGTTTAAAAGTATGCCCCTGTGTCACCCTCGTTAGAAAGATATAATTTTAAACATAATACAGAGCCTTCTGGATGAAGCCTAGATAGACAACTGGTAGGATCCCAGAGGATTTTGACCATGATCTTGGATGTAGAGAGGCAACGGAATATTGAGAAGGTTAAAAGTCAGGGAGAGCAGAATCTTATAAGTGAATTTTGTCAGAGACCCACTGGAAGCAAAATAAATGTACTAACCACTTCTATACTGGGGGGAAAAAAAGGTCAATCTCCCATGCATATGCTGCAGAAGTTTTTTTTCAGAATTAATTTTTAACTGGATTGTGATTTTGCATGCTGATGGTCTCTGAAATCTATTGAATCTTTTTATCTCTATAAGTATCAGCAAATTACTTGCTATAATATATCAAGAGATGCCCTTGTTTTGAAAAGGTACAAGAGCAGCTAAAATTTATATTCCTCAATTAGAAGTAGTCGTCATCATCTCACTTTATTTCATGGCACTTTGTTACTCACCCTTACTGAGAATATCTGCCTTTTATGTTTAAGCTCAGTGAACTTACCATGGGGAAAATGTTACCGGTGAACAGATGCTGTCCAGCCTCAAAATAGTTCAGCCAGGTCTGCTCCAACACTAGGTAAGAAGCCCTGTTGAGCCCTGCTTGCTGAACACGCTGCTCTGAATCCTGAGCCGTATATAATAAAGCTTTTGCAGAGTCCAAACACTTGGCCTCCCTGGCTGCTCTTAGGATGCAGACATTCTGGTGCCTGTTCTTGAATTGTATTTCAAAGAGCCGCTGTTCAGCTAAAGCATATTCAGAAGAGTTCTGGCCTTTGTACAGATTAAATAGGTTAAGTGTAGGGTGAAAAACATTGCACTTGTGTGCTGTTCCCTGCTTGCCCCCTCATGCTTTGGCACGGTTTAAAGTTCTCTCAGGATGCAAAGACACCTCCTGCCTTCATCCTCCCTTAGTCTGCATTGCGTGTTTCTCCTCTTACTGCCACTCTAAAGGAGCTCATCAACACCTCACATTTTGTAAAGCTTACAAGGCACTTTTTAAAGCAAATGTATGGCCCTCTTTAAAGCTGAGGAAAGTTTCCTGTTGAATGATGTTTTTTAGCTTGGCCAACAAAAGGATGATCTTTGCTGGTAAGGGTACACTCATTGTTCAAGAGTGTTTACACAGGGAAACCCTCCACATCCCTTTTGCTGTTTTAGGTCGAGGACACCAAGCACAGGATAGATTACATGACACTAGTTTCATAAGATCTGTCAGGTTTTGCACTGACAAATTCCTGAAACTGTCACACTAATTAGTATCCTAAGCTTCACTTTTCATGAGCGGCTAAAAAACTAGGACATGACTTTATAACAGAGACTCCCTTCCTCTTATTTAGGCTAGAGATGTTGTTCAACCCAGTTTTCCTTTCTATACATCTCCCAAGAGGGTTCCCGCTACTCAAATATAGAGTTGTTACCCCCCATCATAGCCCAGCTGCAAAGAGTGGATCGGGGAGGCAGACAACGTGCATTCAGTCCAGGGTGCCCAAGTCCCCTCACCCCTGGCATCAGCCTTCCTGGTGCTATCCCTTTTGCCCTGCTCTAAAATGAGCTCGTTTCTATCTCCCTAATCCCTCTTAAATCCTCCAACCTTTTCTTCCCCCTCGATGACCAAAATGGAGGCCCTCTGCAGCGTGGTGGCCTCTGCTGCTGCTCTGTCCCAGGACTGGGACACGGGCTGCCTGGCCAAGGGAGGCGGCTCAGGGTCACCTCGCCTCACTTACCTGCCTGCGTGACCCCGTGCTGCTCGGAGATCACATCTGATGTGGGCACATGCTCCTCGCCTGGCCAACAGTGCAGGAGTTACCTTGTTCAACACCATGTAACACCCAACGCTCGCGTATAACGTTGAGTCTCCCCTAACACTGCCAACTTGGCTGCAAACTTCCTCTCACCTGCTGCCTTGGAGCTTCTCCTGGAATCTGCCACCTCCTCGCTTGTGCCCGGGAGGAAATGAGGCACCTTCCAGGATGGGCGTGCGGAGAGATCCTGCTCAGGGAGGGCGGGGCAGGGCCCAAACGGCTCTGGAGCCTCTCCAAGGCCGGCAGCAGGCTTGCCGAGCCGTGACGCCACCCTGCTGGGGAATGCACCTGCCCAAGCGAGCGACCGCGCAGCCTATCGGCGCCCACAGCCCGCCCAGGATGGACCAGGAAGGGACGCCGGCAGGAACACCTATTCCGTGGCAGGTGGATGCCGGAGGAAGGGTAGAGACTAGGTTCTCCCCCTGAGATCCTTTATTAGCTTGATCCAGTGGAAGGAAAGTCTGGAAAAACAGACCTTGCTGCTGGCCAGGAGCCTGTGTTGGGAACAGCGCTGGGCTTTATCGCGTGTGGGCAACGTGTCAGCTGCAGGTGAGTGAACATCTTCCCTCAAGGAAGGGCTCTGCTCTAGGACCTGTGTAGGGGAGGGAAGGGACATATTTCATCAGTACCCCAGACAGGTTAGTTGGCTGCTTCAGAAGAGTTTCTTAAAAAGTCCTGACTTTGCCTCCTCATCTCTTCTTCGTGCCTTTGCCTCTCCTGTCATCGTGTAAGACTTGGGTGTTTCATGTTCTTGCAGGATTCACAGGCCTTCCTGAGCATGGGCATTGGGGCAGGCTTTTCAGTGTTAGGGTGCTGAGCGCAAAGGATGGTGATCAGGACCCTTCATAATGGAACATGCCAAAGCCATCTAGATTTCTATACAAAGCATCTGTACACGGACCCTTTTGCAACAAACCATCCACCTCTCCTATCCGCAGACCCCCTAGGCTTGGTGAAAGGAAGGGAAGATACTGCCATCATCCAGGGCTTCCCGAGGCTTGCAGAGTGTTATCTGGTGGCAGGAGGGATACTCACTCATGGGAAAGCACCATCCCTTTCGTAGGGCAGAGAGTATGGACTTCTCTCAAAGGTACATGTTAGACAGCATAGGTTTGCCTGGTCTTTGCCCCAGAAAGGACAAGTGATGGGAGCTGGTAACTGATGTAGCAGCTGAAGGAGAGCATGAATCTTCTCAGGTCTTTGGGAGAGACAGATAGATGCCACTGAAGGGCTCTGATACTCTCATTCCTGGCAGATTCCTCTTTCCTCTGCTCCTGAATTCCTAGGAGAAGATTTGGGCCCTGCCCACCTCTAGGCTGTCAGTCATATGTGTCCCAAAACAGGAGTGTCCGTGGCCCCAAGGGCGCTGAAGGGCTTTGAGCACCATGACATTCAGAGCTTCTGCTTTGTGTTTTGGCAGTTATTCAGATATAAAACAGCACAGATGAGTGTAAGTCTCTGTGCCTCCTGGAGAGTTAGAAAAAGTTCACGGAAGGATGGGAAAATATTTATGTCTATTCTGGAATATAGAGTTGTGGGGCTGGGTAAGTGGTAACGGGAAGCGCAGAGGGGTGACAAGTCCACCGCAAAGAGATCATGGTCAGTCCTGGGGAAAGAGGGGAAGAAGATGACTTGTATCTGTTGGACATTGTGAGGCTCCATTGAATTTAATGACAATGATGTTTTTGTTTGTTTATTTTCTAGCAAATCTTGCCGGTCTTCCCCAGGCTTCACAATGCTCACATACTCCACATAACTGCATTACATGGTTCTGAAGGCTGGCAGCACTGCAGGAGCCTGTCCCACCATTCTGTCCTGAATGCTGTAGGTAAACAATGTCTCGTAAGTGTCAGGGCTGGGGCTGAGGAGGGAAGTGAGGAATATTTCAATGCTGAGTTGTATCTGGCTGAAAAGAAAGTGTTAATTAATGTACACTCCGTGCCCATCTGCCAGATACCAGACAAAAACAGGCCATGAAAAGAATATAAATAAATAAGTGCATATACCTGTTTCCAGGCAGTTGGACGGAGTGTGTTTCTCGCACCTGCTGCCAGCAATGGCCGGAAAACAGTTCATGACTCCCAGTGCTCAATTAATGTTTGCTAGAGTGGGAAAAAAGAAAATAAAAGGAAAGGAAAGACACTCTCATTTTGGTTTTCCTGAGTTTCCAGTGCTTTACTGTTTTTCCTCCCCACCTGTCAGACACTAGTGTGGAAGAAAACAACCTGTAAATTTTTTTCTCAGATGTGATCTTCGGTTAGAAATCTCTGTGTCAGTGGGCTGGTCCTCTCCTCCTTTTTATCTTGCATACAAGGACGGCAGCATTGAAGGTACAGGGTTTAGTACCAGGTAAATGGCAGAATTCAATGTCCTGCCATACACAGATTGCCAGACTGGCTAATCTGATGGGTTAGCTGGCTTAAACTCACAGAGGGTCTGTGTTATTACGAGGTCTACTTTAATCCCTTCTCCAAAGAGTTGTGGATGACACCCCAAGATAGGGCTGCTTTGATTTAAAATATCAGGACAACCATTTTTTTTTCCCTCAGGAGATTGGCAGTGAAAGGAGAGAAGTAAAAATACTGCAACTAATGACACAAACCCTCACAGTCTAAAGAAGCCCCAGTAAATGTGGCTGTTTATAGGGCAAAAGCTTATATTCTCAGAACTTTTTCAAACAGATTCAAGAAAACATAAGGCATGCATCAATGGAAATCTTTGTTGCTCTAAAACATTCATTTAATAAAGGTTAATAAACTATAAGGAAACATGTGCCTGTAGAGGTCATTACTTTATTTTGTTTTGCAGTGAGGCATGCTAACAGTTTTATCTTACTTCTGACCTTATTCTGGGCAAATAAAAATTGAAGTGATTAAAATTTTAAAAGCCTGAGAATGCAATGCTATAGGTTGACTTTTGGTCGTGTTTTCCCTTGTGGATTCTACTGTTGTGTTGGTTTTGTTTACTATGTGAAGCACAACTTGATTTTATGTGCAACTTTGGTCAAGTAACAGAAGGCCACAAACTTTGCACTTCTGATTTATGTTTTATTAGGGCAAAAATCTTATCAACAAACCTGCTATCTACTAGACTCACCCCTTTGTCAAAGAGGAGATAAGGCAGACCTGTGTGTGCAGAAGGAAAGGTGAGGAGGAAGCAGTGCTTAACACAGGCCAGGCTGAGCTGTGGGGTACATGCTGCGAAAATGACCCCAGGCTCAATACTTTCTCACCCCTCTACTTTGAAAGAACCCCTTGAAACCATCACCTTTTTGGCTGCCTGTGTCCCAGGCACAGGGCGCTTTGCAGACGGGAGGAGGTGGCTTTCCTGTCTCCTGCAAAAGTGAACTGGACCCTGAAGGCACAGAATCAGCATGCTTAGTTGCTGCTCTTTTCCACCATTTAATGCTTTCTGCTCTTCTGGGATCATCTAGGAGTTGCAAATCTCCCAAAAGCATCCAAACGAGTGTGCCGTTTGGAGCACGGATTTCTGTGTTTCACTCCAGTCCCTGCCAAGACAAACCAACCACCACCAGTTGTGCAGGGAAATAACACAGGGCACAACTCACGCAGTGCATCAGGGCCCAGGCCTGCAAATGAGCAGTGGCGAGAGACTTCCCGGCCACGTGAGCTCAGCTGGCAGCGCGCCCTGAGCCACGTCCAAAGTGACCTCATGCTCCAGCACAGCCGGAGAGTGACTCAGGAGGAGCTGGGCCTGACACTGTCAGGCTGTGTCTGGTTCAGGAGCCCCTGTCCCATTGTCCCCCACGCTCATGGTGGCTCATCCCTGATGAAGGGGGATTTCTAGGCATCCCTGTTGAAGATGCCAAGGAGATGATTTTACCCTCAGCCCATGCTTTGGAGCCATCTGTAGCAGCCTCTCCAGGCTCTGGTCTGTGTATCAGGACAGATCTCTATTTCCTGTAGCAGGTAGCAAGGTACAGGCATAAGGGAATGGTGTTTGCGAACAGTGTCTGAAATAAGGGAGCTGTGTTAGAAAGACTCCTGGCGAGTGGGGGTTGCCACTGCCTGCTGTTACTGAGCCCCAAAATAAGGGCTAGGTCCCAACACTGTCTGTAGCAGGTAGCAAGGTACAGGCATACAGGCAAACATGGTGTTTGCGAACAGTGAAGGGAGCTGTGTTAGAAAAGACTCCCGGCAAGTAGGGATTGCCATGTGCAAAAGCCACTGCCTGCTGTTACTGAGCGCCCAAATAAGGGCTAGGTCCCAACACTGAACTGAGTACAGCATAAAGACAAATGCAGCGTGTTTGGCACAGGCTGATGGAGAGTCTTTTTTAGCAGGCAGGGTACTGTGCAGCCGTCCTTCCACTTGGGGGCTCTGACACAGCTTGGACAGACACCAAGGTCTCCACCAGTGCCTGGCCCTGGCTCTGAGATCTCTGAGACGTCGGGCAATTTGTGTGCGTGTCTCTGACAGACAGAAGAAACAGTGAAGGTGCACACTATGTGTCTGCAAGGTGGCCAGGGAACCCAGTTCTGGGGTCCCTGAGGTTTGTCCATGTCTTCAGGGCTCAGCCATGCCTCGGTGTTGCCAGATATTCCAGTGCTGTCCTCCCCACCAGCTCCTTGCTCTGGGGAGTCCAACTGGCCTGGAGGGAGCATTCTGGTGCTTCTGATTAGCCAGAGCACTCATATGCTATGGGCATATGGGTTATGTGAAGAAAATACAAGTGTTTTCTACACTGGGTGTAAGGCTTTGCCCAGACAAGCCATAAGAAGGGCCAGGAATCAAGCGAGGATTTGGTTGTGCTTGCAGAGGAGGTGGTGAGCCCTGGGGAGCTGGGCTGAGGAAAGGCCCTGTGCTGGATGGCACCAGCCTCATCCCTGCAGCCACTGGTGACTTCCCTCTGCTGCCCTCCTGATGGGGAAGGTGCAGAGAGGAGAGCAAAACCAGGGAGTGCAAGTCCCAGCTGTCTGTGGGGCTCTTTCCAGGAAAGTGCTGAGAGGAATAACCATCATGTTTCTGCAGGAGGCTTGGGATGGGGATTGCAGGGATAGGGGCAAGGCTGAGGAGCTGCCCTGGGGCCAAGGCCAAGCAGCAAGGGCAGCACTTGCTGTTCCAGCTACTGGACATGAAGGGTTAAGCTCCAGTCCTGACCCCCACCTTCCCCCTGCCCTTCTAGGCAGCAGAGCCAGTTGGTGACAAGAGGCTGATGCTGATGAGGGAGCATGTGAAGTCAGAGCCGTGAATGGGGCTTTATCCCAGGGGCCACCAGCCCCTGCTCCATCCGCGCCCTGCTGCCAGCACCAGCTGCAGGAGAGCCCTGCAGGCAGCCGTGAGCCTGCAGCTCTGCGCAGGGTGCTGGGAGGCAGCCACGCCGCCAGGCAAGGCCGTCGCGGAGGGGTTTTGCTGGGGCTGGCTGAGGTCCCTGCCGTAGTGCGTGGAGCCCTCCCGGGAGGACAGGAGGAGGCCTGGGGGCCTGTGAGGGAGGCTGGGGTCTGTGTGCCGGCCCTGAGGCTCAGGGCCTTGGCAGGGGATTTCTTGGCACAGAGGATCAGGGTCTCTGTTTAATAATCTCTTTTTCTCTTCTTGCCTCTTTCAGATGAAACACTCAGGAAAGGAAGGCCTGGGCCCTGGTCATTCCCCGACGGCGCTGCCCTGGGGATGCTCCAGCATGTCCCGCATCTCTGCTTGGAGGCAGGGCTCAGCCCCAGCACACAGACCGTAGCTCTCCAGGTGGCACTGCCACCACAGAAGGGAGCTCCACTGGGCACCAAAGGATGAGACAGAGGCGTCCCCGCTTGAGAAACGCTGCCGCCTTCACAACTGCCACTGCTTTGACCCTCCCCTTCGCTGTAAAGGTCTAGTTTCACCTCCGTGACTGTCCCGACGAGCCCTCACCACCCAGCCACTCACCATGCCGGAGCTGGCAGAGCTGAGCACTCCCCGCACCCCTGCAGATGCCGACCACATCCAGAGGAACATCCTGGAGGAGCACGTGGAGCTCTGGTGGTTCCAGGACCCCAAGAAGTCCATCCTGTGCTATGGGGTGGCAGTGGTGCTGATCTTGGCCTGTGGGATTGGGGGCATCATTCTGCTGTACAGCACCAGCAGCCGATCTGGAGAGTGGCGTCTGGCCGTGGGCACCACGCTCTGCCTCCTGGCCCTGCTGGTGCTGCTGAAGCAGCTGCTCAGCTCTGCGATCCAGGACATGAACTGCATCCGCAGCCGGGATCAGATTGAGCTCCTGAAGAGCGGGGGCTTCTCGGACTGCCTGGTGCTGCTGCTCAGCGCCCTGGTGCTGCTCATCTGTGGCATCGTGCTCACCGTCCTCGCCACCACGAGCACGCAGCCCAGCTCCGTGCGGCCGCTGGGCAGCATGTTCACCAGCGGGATTATCCTCTTGGCTGCTGGCAGCACCATCCTCCTCTCCCTGCTGCTCTATGTGCTCTGCACCTCCTGCTGCCGAGCTGCTCCTCGAGGCTTGGAGACAGGCGAAATAAGTGTCTTCACCATCTCTGGCCGCCTGGCTGCTAACAGGCGACTTCCTCCCACCTCCAGCATGGCCAACCTGATCTGACCCGGGGCCATGGGAGCTGCACCAGAGCTGGCAGGACCCCCTGCGTGAGGCTTGACGGATTCCACTCAGCAGCAAGGCTTGTGCCTCCTGGCCCCACTAGTTTTCCCCAGAGCAAGGCGAGATTTGCAGTGTGCCTTATGTTCCGTCCAGACGTGACTGCCACTTGCTTTACCTCAGGCTAACAGCGTGGCAGGAACCCTGCGCTGCCTGGACAGGCTTCGGGAATGGGAGCCTTACAAGCACAGCACTGCCCTGCTCTGCTGTTATCTCAG